GGGATGAACAGTCTGAAATACAACACAGCAGAGATGAAGAAGTCTAGAAGGTTCCTGGTGTATATGGAAGATAACTTCCTGACACAACTGATGAGTGAGCCAACAAGGGAAGGCATCCTGCTGGACCTGTTGTTTGTGAACAGAGAAAGATTTGTGGGTGATGTGATTGTTGGAGGCTGACTTGGGCATAGCAATTACAAAATCATAGTTTGCACTTCTCAGAGAAGAAAGGAGGGGAGTCAGCAGAATTGGAACCTTGGACTTGCAGAGGGCAGACTTCAACCTGATTAGGAGCCTAGTTGACAGACTCCCTTGGGAGGTAGTCCTGAAGATCAAAGGAGTCTAGGATGGCTGGACATTCTTCATGAAGGATATCTTAAAGACACAGGAGTAGAATTCAGAATGAAGCCCCTGTAGTCCAAGGGGGAATGTTTAGTGATCTGCTACACCACTTAAGACATACACAAGTCTATGGGGCTGGATAGGAACCACCCACGGGTACTGAGGAAGCTGGTGCAGTACTCACCAAGCCACTGTCAATCACTTACCAGCAGCCCTGGCTAGCCAGGTTGCTCCTCGCGGACTGAAGGTTTCCAAATGCGATGCCCATCTACAAGAAGGGCTGGAAGGATGATCCAGGGAACCACAGGCCTGTGACCTGGACCTCAGTGCTCTAGAAGGTTATGGAGCAGGTAGTCTTGAGCACCATCACACAGCACATACAGGACAAGTGTTCAGGCCCAGCTGGCATGAGTTTATGAAAGGCAAGTCCTGCTTGACTAACCAGACCTCCTGCTGTGACAAGGTGGTCCACTTAGTGGATGAGGGAAAAGGACATGGATGTTGTCTACACAGACTTTAGTAAAGCCTTTGACACTGTTTCCCACAGCATTCTCCTAGAGAAACTGGCTCTCCATGCCTTGGAAGGTTGTACTGTTCACTGGGTAAAAACCTAGCTGGATGGCCAGGCTCAAAGAGTGGTAGTGAACAGGGTCAAATACAGTTCAAGGCCACAAATGGTGTTCCCCACAGCTCAATATTGGAGCCAGTTCTGTTAAATACCTTCATCAATGAGGATATCAAGGGCACCTTCAGTAAATTTGCAGACAACACCAAGGTGGGTGGGAGTGTTGAACTGCTGAAGGATCGGGAGACTCTGCAGAGGGATCTGGACAGGCTGCATTGATGGACTGTGGCCAGTGGTATGAGGTTCAACAAGGCTCATCAGTGCTGCGCCCTGCACCTGGGTCACAACAACCCCACGCAACGCTACAGGCTTGGGGAAGAGTGGCTGGAAAGCTGCTCAGTGGAAAAGGACCTGGGGGTGATGACTGACAGCAGAACATGAGCAGCTTGTGCCCAGGCAGCCAAGAAGGCCAACAGCATCCTGGCCTGTATCAGCAATAGTGTGGCCAGCAGGGCCAGGGCAGGGCTCACCACCCTGTGCTGGGCACTGGTGAGGCTGCACCTCAAATCCTGTGTTCAGTTCTGGGCCCCTCACTGCAAGAGAGACATTGAGGTGCTGGAGTGGGTCCAGAAAAGGGCAACAAAGCTGGTGAAGGGCCTAGAGCATAAGTTTTATGAGGAACGGCTGAGGGAACTGGAGTTGTTTGATCTGGAGAAAAGGGAGCTGAGGGGAGACCTCATCCCTCTCTACAGCTACCCGAAAGGAGGTTGTAGTGAGGTGGGTGTTGGTCTCTTCTCCCAAGTAACAAGTCATAGGAAAGGAAACGGCCTCAAGTTGCACCACTGGAGGTTCAGACTGGGCATTAGGAAAAATTTCTTCAGTTAAAGGGTTGTCAAGCAATCAAACAAGCTGTCCTGGGAAGTGGCTGAGTCACCATCCCTGGAGGTATTTAGAATACATGCAGATGTGGTGCTTGGGGACACGGTTTACTGGTGGATTTGTAAGTGTTAGTTAACAGTTTGACTTAAAGATATTAAAGGGCTTTTCCAACATAAACAATTCTATGACATATGCTTGTTGTGATGACATAAAACCCTTCATGCATTGAATACTGATCAGCAGACTTGCTTTAAAAAACAAAAATCATCAATATTCATTCTCAGGTAACTTCCCTGGCACTGAGTTACCAAGACATTTTCTCTCTTACACACTCCCTCTACTTCTTCAAATCTTTACTTCCTTACTAAACAGTAGGAAGTATTGAAGAGGAAAAACGTAAAGCTTTTTCTGCTTTCCCTTGCTCACAGTCTGGCAACTAAGGCTCTTTTCACAGTGGAGAGAACTCGATATAAATTTCCAAAGGTAGAAGAATCATCCTTCTCCCTCACCACCTGAGCAGCTGGTCTGTGAGCAAAGATGTTGTGTGAAAGCAGGCACTGCTGTTACCCCAGTTGGTCTTGCTCTGCTGTCTGCAATGTATCCATTTTCTGAGGAGACTCAACCTGCTATCACAGATAAGGTACACTCTAGAGATACCTACCTGGTTGAGACCCTCAGCAGACTTAGAAGGAACTATTCAATTTGGTATATTAACTGGGGTCCAACCAACTGCTGTTCAGCCTTAGGCTTTAGAAGGTTGCTGTACTTTTGTGCATATTCAAATGAAAAAGTTCTCACAGCTGTGAAATTTAGGTTAAATCTGGTTGGTCACTAGACAGCAGCTGACTGGGTCTTTTGATGAACCCATTTCAAAGGATAAAATAAAACACAAAAACCAACAAGGTCCAAAACATCACATCTCACCTGCCCTGAATCCATTATATCATCCATTTAATACTATTAAATTCCAGTAATGTTCTTCTAACATAGCTTTTTGAGTATAACTTCCTCCAGTTTTAGAAAAGGCAAATAAAAAATGAAGAAGTTTTTCATACAGCACCTAACACCCACGTTAATTATCACCCAAGTTAAAATCTTTACATCTATCACATATACGTGGCAGCTGATGGAGCATAATAAAAACAGTAGTAGTTTGCCATGCTATAGGGACCTACTCTGAAGAAACAACACATTTTGTCAGCGTGTTTCAGACGTAGCAGATGGCAGCAGAAACCTACTGAGGCCTCTTAATGGCTACAGCTCTCTTTTCAGCTCCACTGCCCAGTCCTGCTTTGCCTCAGAACAGCTTGAAGTAAGCACTATAAGGAAATATTCCATTACTGCATGAAGCTTATCGCTGAAGTGGACATATCTAAATCACATATGCAGAATTCCTTCACTCATTCTTCACTTTCTGAAAACACAAAGCACGATCAGTTACTAGTTGGATGACAGGAGCCAAAAAGGGCTGAAACACTGTCATTGTCTCAACAGGATTAATGCAAGTACAGGCTGATCAGGAAAAAATTGTGATAAAGTCAAATACACTCAGCAGAAATAGTCCTCAGAAAGGCTGAATAGCAATAGGGAAAAAAATAGGCAATGAACATACCCCAAAATGTTTTAAATTTAAAAAGCATTGTAACATGGTGAAATCTGTCACATTTTCCAGGAGCTAAAGACATATGTCCAAATCATGATTTTATGATGACAAACAAACCAAAAAAAAATTAATTCCAAACCTCAATCTTTGAATGGCAATAAAATATTCTGAATGAAACTCATGAGTCAGTCACCTCGCATTTTAAGGTGAAAGCATGAGAAGTTTGAAACGTCTATAATTAACTAAAGACAAGGAAACATGAAACAACCTAAATAAGTTGAATTCTAAGAATATATAGAGAACTTGATCAGAATTTCTTTGACTGGAGAGCGTGTCTCCAACACTGTCCTGCAAAATTCCTCAGAAGCTGGTGGAGTGGAAGGACAAAGGGAGAAAATTGCCAACAAATAACATCATTTTGTGTCTTTTTCTTCACTAGGACTTACTGTCGAGGTAGATTATTTCATGACACCACCACCTGAAGGAAATATATCCCTAAAATTATCTACATTATTATCTTTATCCACTGCTAAAAAGAGACGAGTTACCATAACTAGTTTTGTCAAGTAAAATGTAGCTCTGACCCTAGAGAGAAAGAGATGGGGAGAAAGTATTGACTGAAATCACAACTCAACAATAACCATAATAATAGCGCATTTGAAATTGTACAATAATTGTCTAGATTAGTGATAGGATGGGACAGTTTCATAGACAAAGTTCGGCAGAGCACTCCTATTATAGTAATTATACTGTCCTCTCTGCATGAGCTGCAACGGTATTCATTGAAACTGGATACAGTGCTTTCAAAATAGGTTCCACCCATTAGAAAGAAAATATGGGAAAAGAAAGGTTACAAAGTTCCCCAAGAAGTTCCAGAAATGGAGGCCAAAGTTAAATGGCGGTCTCAGAGAGGCACTTGTTTCCAAGTTATTGCCCTTTTCCCAGAAAGGCAGATACCTTAATTTAAGTGACAATGATTTATTCATAAAATAACAACAAAAGGTTTCATAACACAAAGACCTTCTTGACCATTGTTCACTATATATGTTTCATTCACCATGAAACCACGAAAAACCAGTAAACTGACCTTACAAATAGAAGTTTTTGATGCCAAAAATCTCAAAAGATGTCAGTAGAACAAAAGATCTATTGACAGCCATACTTTCGGTTTTTAAACGCTTTACAACCAATTTACTAGCAGCATGAAAACAGAATTTGAATCCTAAAGTACCAGACGGTCATAAAAGTGGATGCTTATTTAAAATACCATTTTGTACACTGACAGTTAACTCATACCTTTTTTCTTAGTCTGACCCTTCCCAAAATTATTCTGTCTTCTGATTAAGACATCAAATGTCATTTACAGAGTCACTCAATACTGACTTAGCTAATGAAGACTTTGGTTGAAAGCATAATATACAAATGCCATTCCCTAAAACTGAGCTTTTATTGATTTTTGGTAAGTAATATGTACAGTAAGCTTTAAAACATGCCATGATCATTAAAAGGAATATAAAAATAAGCAGAAATTCATAAACATCAATCCAAAATCAAAAGCTGAGAGCATGTGTTACTTAGTTATCCATGGTAATAAAAGCAAAAGATTCATACCTGCACCTGGAATGATTGCCAACTTTGTTTCAACTAGACCCATTTTAGCAGAAGAGGCTAAAAACAGAATGTAAATGAGTTCTTATTATGATCTATAGGAAAAAACTTAGCAAAGTATGCAATAATGACCTACAAGATTGTTGATTTATTACATTTCCTTCATAAAGAACAATAAATCACTTAAAAAGCATTTGTTTATGAAACTCTTTAAATAGATTTAACCTTTAGTAAAAGATCCAACTACTTTCATCAAGGCAAGTTCTGTACCTTATTAATTTTCACATAGCAAGTAATCAATTACAGTGAGTAACAGAGACTTACTTGCAAAATGTAAAATACTAAAATAAAAAGATTGTTATTATTTAACATCTCAAAATGGGGTACAGTTCCGTATCTGATTATTATTATGAATTCTTTAGCTGACAGAATATTCTCTAAGGGTCAAACAGCTTTATATATCCTACGTTACTGGCAACTGTTCAGGAGCAAGTTTCCATTTACTTTTCAACAAATGGCTTTACAGTTCTGACAGCTGGATAGGTCAAGGTTTCTCTTTTCAAGTGCTATTGTCACTTTTCTTTTATAACAGCTTAATGGCTTGTGTAGTAATACTCTCACTAACAACTTCTGCTTTTTCCCTGCAAACTGTTTAGATAAAAATCAAATCTCCATCTAGCATACTTCAGATACAGAAGAGGAGAATACTTGAATTAGTAAATTAAGTATTTTTTTCAAACCACTATATAATCCTTCTAGCAATACTGATAACATAAATGTCATAAGAAAAAAATAAAACATGTAACACTACTTAGACAGGTTTCTGCTAAATCCTTTTAAAATAATTGGTTAGAAACAACAACAAATACAAAGTAAGTTTTATAAAACTATTGCCAAAACAAGAATTAGTCAAGCCATCTGCAACACTAACAATTCTATGTTCTATAAACAGGATTCGGACCTACCTGCCACTCTTATGTCACAGGCTAATGCAAGTTCTAGGCCACCACCTAACGCAGCTCCATCTATTGCAGCAATAGTAGGCACAGGCAGATTAGCTGAAAAAGAAAGTCCCAATTAATTTAACACTGGCCTCATAAAGAATGTCTCTGAAATACCATTTAATTGCATTTTATTCAAAGTACAGTCATCCTATGGGAAGAAACTTGATAAAACTAAGAGGGACAAAAAAGTGATTGCTCAGCAACACTTCGGCAAAAATAAAATGACCCTCCTTCTATATCACTTTGTGGCTAAATAGGTTTGCAAGCCCTTTCCTCTAGCTTCTGCTGACTTCTGTCAAAAATCTGAAGAGTAAACTCTAAAAACATACATAGCAGAGCTAGGCAAAAAATAAAAAAGGAATACTTTAAAAAGGCACATACACAAACAGTCCCAGTTGAAATATAGATGACTTACCATAATCATCTGTGATGCTAGCTCAGCTGGAAGCTGTCTGTGTCTTAATATTCCCAGATGTGGTGTTGTCACCACTATTGCCCCTTTTCTCCCATAAAGCAGCAGCCAACAGCTTAATGGAACGTGGAAAAGTTTTCAGTCTCAAACAGATGCATGCCCTGCCTGAACATGTGACAGGTAGCAGAGATACAGAGACCTGTGTGACCATAGCAGGTTTGTATTTGATTTATCATCTGTGTTCTGACTCAGGGAAGTCATTTAAACATTCAGTTTAAAGTACTGCTCTCCATCTCCAACAAGTTTAAGTTTTCTTCTTCCCTCTTCACCACAAACTCAAAGTTTTGGGATAAAAGGTATTTTTCATTTGAGAAATAAACTTCTATAGTACAGCTTTAATTAGATTTAACATTTACCACAAGCTATCGATAATTTTAGACTACACTTAAACAATATTTCAGTAGTACATTGTTGCTACTTAAGTTTCAAAGATAGTCAAAAGCAATTCATCAGCTGAACACATGGCCTACAGCTTGTTGAAATGTTAAACCAACTCTTGACAGCAATAGTTGGGGTTTTTTTCAGATGTTAAAAAAACATTTTGTTTTAATGTTTCAGCTTCTTAAATTCAATGACCAGTTCATTCAGTCTTAGTTGGAATTGAAAAAAAACCTGCTGCCAAAATATAAATGAAAATCTGATGTGAGAGAATGTTCTCTCCTTTTATAATCTAGAAGGCTAATTTGTCAAAAAATGATTAATTTAATGCACTAATTACAAATAATAATTCCTTTCTTTAGTGAACTAGTTCTAAATTTAGAAGTTGTGCTACCTAACTTACCTTTTTCCTTTCTGACAGATACACTTCAGATAACTTCATCTAAAAAACAACCTCACAACCAATAAGAAGTTAATGTATATCAGCATGGATAAATCTGTATACAAACAGGTAGTTCCTCACTGGGTAACAAAACGAAATATCAAATTAAACAAAAGGCTACTTTTAGCTGCAAATCAAAATCCTTTTATGATTAACAACTAATGAAAATCCAATTGTCTTCAAGAAAAGAACAAAAATTTATTAATGTTTTTCAAGATTATAACAGATGCTTTAAATCAAAGTCCCTTGGGTCCTGATTTAGATCTTGATTAAGTGATTATCTGAACCAACTCCAGTGTCAAAAGAGACTACTGATTACTGTCTGCAACAATCAAGCACTTGCAGCCACTTAGAAGAGCCCAAGTTAGCAATTACATATTGCCATCTAGCCACAGAAAGCACAGAAGACAGAGGAATAGGAGTAAAATCTGCTGTTTCTCAATTTACTTTTCTTAGTTATATGGGAAAGCAACTCTCATTCCAGCAAGGCCAAGCTGCTGACTGAAACTCATAACCCCGTCACCACAACCAATCTGCCAAACAGTCTTGCAATCCAAGTTCAAGGTTGATACATCTTGTATTTAAAGAAATCTGCCTCTGCCACCAGTAAATGAAGAATAATTTGCCTGAACACTAAGGCATGGCCATTATTAATTATAGTTACTGCCTGTATTTATGTTCCATTTCTCAGAGACTAGGTATGTGAAGCACTATCTACACAACTTCTGCAGTAGTCCAAGGCAGACCACTTTTCCTATAAGTAACTTTCAAATTTAGCTATGGCACGATTTAAGGAGGCTATTACATACAGAGCATTACAAACCAGTTTGCTTTCAAGAATTACAGCCAGCATTCCTATCAAGAAATACTAAAATTCATAATTAAAAGGGAGAAAAAGCTGTTTGATACCATATGTTAGAATAATAGCTTCCCAAGGATATTAATTTTAAAGGATCACCTAAAGTGGCAGTTGACAATGAAAGAAAGGCAAAATATAAATTTCTTTACAACAGCTGTATGCATACCTATCGAAAGAATTAAGGAAATTAGTTCTTTTAACATGTTCTTGTGAAGCATCAGACAAAGCAATATAGAAATAAATTAGCAATTGCTCCTGATTGTAAACAGAGTCTCTAAGTTACCAGAACTTGTTACCAAGGGCAAAGCTTCTTGGAATATTCGAATTTTGTAGCACAAGAGGCACTTGTTCATGTTTATCTGCATAATTTTAATACACAACTGCCAAAACTGTTCAGCTCATAACAAAACCAGAGACGATGTTTGACAAATCATGCCCTGTAGACTTAACTTAGTTGTATGCAATCAAATTTTTAGAGCACTAAATTAAGTAAACAGACAGATTGACCTCCACAATGATTCTACATGGCAAGGCTCATTTGCCGCGAATGATAGGAAAAAAAACCCCAAACTACTTAAAGCTTTGCCAGGAAGCCCAGTGGTTTTATTCTCTAACATCCCACATTTTGTCACACTGTAAATAACAGATATAAATCTCAGGCGATTATCCTACTAAACATCAGTGCTAGATCTGAAACGGGTTTATCGATGTTCAATCACGAACTGCACAGTAAAGTCCACAAAAGGAATTGTGAATATATATAAAAGGAACAAAACAAACTAAATGAGAGCGTAAAACACACAGAGAAAAGAAGACCATATACACAGATCGATGCTGTTAGTGGTAGTTAAAAAAAAGAGACTAAGTAATCAGCATTGTTAAACTGTAATCACAGAATTGCACTTAACTACTGTAGTACATCAAAGTGTGGACGCTAAAACATGAAAAACACTAAGTAACAAGCCAGTTCATGCAATGAATTCATAAAGGATTACTTCACAGATCTACTGTATAGTAAAACACGCTGCATATTCTGTAGGTACACTTCCACTATGCATATTAAACAAGCGTCCAAAGAAAGGCCAATACTCACGTCCTAATATAACATCAATGCTTAATGACATTACAGAAAAGGAAGGTCGTAAGTACAGTAAAGAAGGGCCCATATCAGTCTATGTAGTCCTAAGTCAGCAAAGGACAGAGGTAAGACAAAAATATATTGCTGTATTTGAGATCACAGGAGTAGAAACAGGTTTGACTAGGTGAAGAGTAGACAAACATGACAAGCAGATCAAAATAATTTTTGTGTATTAAGTTATCTGAGGAATAACCTGTTAGGACAGAAGGTGACACAAACTGTACAAAAGGACATTTAATGGCCATTCAAGACATGACACAGATGAAGTGACCAACAGGGAACTGAAGAACTAAGAAATGAATGGCATGCAAAAAACTTCAGTAAGAAACTAAACATAGTAACATGATACAGTTAATGAAGTCCAAACTCATAAAAGCTCCAAGTTAGAAAAGTTAGAAAATATGATACAAGCAGTATAAAGAAATGGGTCTGTTTCCTACTCCACAGTAACTGTGGATCTTCAGCTCAACTTCAGGAATGCATTCCTGGTAAATGCGTTTGTTACATGTAGTTTTAGATAAGGCTGACCAGCAGCCTTGGGATGCCTCCTGCTTTCCTCTCCATTACTGAAAGACAAAGAGTAAGATAAACCCTCGATTTTGTCATCAGTACAGAATGTCACAGGACACTTTGCATTTAAGCACATAAATACACATGTAATGTGGGAAGCAATGTCAAAGAATCACAACTGTTTTGAAGCAGGTAACTGTTATTTCATTTTAAAGTGACTTTACACATGATGTCCGCTGCTGGTCACTAACAAGGGATTTCCCTTCTGCTTAGAGATGATTATATGATGAATGAAAGACCAGCATATGAAGGAAGAAGGGAAAAACTAGGAAAAATTAATAAATAAGTACAGTAAAGCCAAAATGGCAGTAATTTATACATGAAAGTAGTCTTGCCTTTATTAGACATTATATAGCGTAGATTTTACATAGCTGGCAATAAACACATTCTTTAGACAGTGTCCAACGGCTCAAAGGAAGACCTATCCCTATTACTCATCCCTTCCTGAGGGTTCTTGAAATGGGCAGAGGAAGAATTATAATGGTATCCAGAATTCCAGACTTTGTGCTTTGTGTTCCTGGTCAACTTGCATCAACTTGTCCAGATTGCTTAACTTAAAACATATGACATCCAGAAAAAAGTTACTGATTTAGAATGTATCAAATCCAAAGAGAACGACCTTTTAAGAGTGGCTTCCTTGCTTGCCAAGTAAATACATACTTGTAGTATTTTCTGTTAGCAACTGTAGCACGTATTTGTACAAAAAGAGGAAACATTCTCTAGGCACAAAATTATTAGTTCCAGGCTGTTCATGTGCCTATAAGCTTTCTATAAGAACCATACACTTGTAGCTTGGGAGCAGTATAAAACAATTAACCAGACCAACACCACAGTATTCCTTCCTACAGCTGGGTACAGGAGCCGTCGTTAAATATCTGGAAATCCAGCAGTCTTAGGATTCAGTTTCTCTACAAGTAAAAGGTCTGCACAGTTACTGCAACACTTGCAGTTCATGATTCCCATGAACCAGGAAAGAGAAGGCCTTGGAAGCCCTTTCAATCCCTAATAATGCACAAATTATATATCATCCTAAGATATAATTAACTTCTATTTTTGACGTATCCTTGCACACACGAGGACAAGTGCTTTCAATTCAGCTAACTCCAGCAGTGAGAACTTGGTATTTAGGAACATTCAAATAAGGCTCCACTTCAAAGCATGCCTTTTCAAGTATTTGATATGAAAGACTAAAATG